ACATTTAGAATTTGCATAACTTGATGTTGAAGTTCAAGGACTTAACTTGACACTTAGAGTAACTTCTTCTGAAACTGCTGTTTCTTTTCTTTCTTCTCCTACCTCCCCTTTTCCTTCTTACCTACTCATCTTAGGACCCACCCCCCCAGTTCCCATACCTTTTAAAGTTTTTATGCCAGTAAAAATAAAAACCTCAAATGCTTGTGACAATAGTTGATAATACAAGTTTTTAGCTTGTGACTTCATGATCAAAATTCTATCCTTTTTTATATGACTGTTGGTTCAGACTGACAAATTTTTCATAATCTGTTGGGGGAAGATTATGGCTCATGTCCTGATAGAAATATATTTTAGACGTGAGTGCAGATTATAGCAACACATTTGAAAAATCCCTTTGATTCTGTTTTTTAGAACTAAGAAATAAAATAAAAAGTAAAACAACTCTTAAAAGTAATGCTAAGTATAATAAAAATAGATAACAGATAAAATGATCAATTTGTGTGCCTTTATTAGTTTGGGCAAGAGAAGAAGGTGGAGTGATATATAAAGCTGAAATGTTTCATAGTGCCAGTTTTCAGAGAGCACTGTGAAGATGTAACTATGTAATAACATGTGAATCTGTAATTCTGTGAGAGAGGTAGTTGATATTTCGATGTGTTAGATATTTGTGTTGGAAAGAAAATTTAAAGATTGCCATGTTTTCTTCTTTAAGCATAGAAATCTTTGATGTGAATGTATTATTAAGCTGAATGCCAGATGTGTGCTAGCCAGCAAACTGGAGGAAATATGTTTTCCATGTGGTCAATACTCACATTCCAATATAATACAATTTTTCCTGTGCTATTATGTCATTACTTTGTCATCTTTAAATAATTGTTTTCCTATGCTGAGTAGAACTGTTTTGGTTTTTTTAAATTTGTTAATTTTTATGGTCTAGTTTTTTGTATTTTTAATGTAGTCATAAGCAGGTCAGTGCTATGAGATCAAACAAAAATAAACCAACTTTCCTCCTACATACATTATAGAATTTAAAATTAATTGACTTACTTGGCATGTATTAGTGAATGGCTGCCTCTGAAATGGCTATTCTATGTCTGTCTACTTGGTGGTGTGTCTTTTATGTTTTTAGTTCAGTGAATATGAAAACCGAGACTGCTTGTGACAGCAGTGTGACATAAGGTAGTACTTTAAAAGACTAATACTTAGGTCATAAGTATTACATAGATTTATAAAGAAAGGATTTCAGTTCTAATATTTTACTAAGTTGGGAAATTTTGTTGCTTAAACACAATTCTAGTTGGTAAGAAGTATTTCAAAAACCAGTTACATTGTGCCTTTCCTAAATTTTTATGGATCTTTAAACTAGACTGTATTTATTGTTCAAAATAAAAAGAAATTATTTTGAGTGAGTTATGTTGTCATATTTATTTTATTTCCTTAGCCGAAGATCCATCTGAAAGCTATGTGAAACTAAGAGATTTTGTACTTGTGAAGCTTTGCCAAGATCTGTCTTGCTTTTCACCAGACAAGTTAATGCAAGGATTCAGTCAAGATATGGTAACAGAGGCACAACAGAAGCTCAAAATAAACAAGGTATTTTAAATTATAATAGGCAAATAGTCTTGAATTTTATGTGCAAAAAATTCTATATTTAGATATTGATAAATATATAACAAAATATTGATAAATATATAGCATTTGATCACTTCATTGTTGGCAGAAACTGGCATACTTCAGCAGTTACAGTATAAACAACTTTAAATATTGCAAAACACAGCTATATAAGCAAGAAAGAATGTTTAAGAGATGTCTTAAGTTTATAATAACATTAATACCTCTGCTTAGGTGAAGGACTTGGAACAGAAGCTGGGGAGCTCCTTTGTACTTTAAAATATATACTTCAAAATTGTTTGTCCCTTTCCAGAGATATCACCTTGCAAATGCTTTCTAAACTTCTAAAGGAAAAGAATGATTTAAATTCTTCCTAGTACCAACATATACATCCTCCAAAAAAACCCAAAAGCAACAACATAGCTTTCACATACTATTTCCTTTCTGGCAGTGGTTATGAATACTAGTTCATAAAATATAATGGTGTCATGCCTTCATCATTCATAGAAGCATGCAAATATTTAAGAAATGCATGTGATTCAGTGCTCAAAAATTTTTTTTCCCCCTATGATTTCCTAATTATTTTTCTTCTGTTTTAAAATAGCTAACTTATTTAAATTTGGTTTAGGCTTGACAATTTAATGAGAATCATTTTTAGTCTTTGTCAATATGAAAGCAAACTAACATTTTAGCAATGAATACATTAGTATAGAAAGGAACAATGATGTTTTAGCATGGGAACTGGCTAGGGTTTTTTTTTCCCCTTTCATCCTTATTTTAAAGTGTTGATTTTTGTCCTATAGAAGGAAATTTTTTTTTAGAAGTCTTTTGATTAGCTGTTAGTCAATAAAGTCCCCATTTTGTATAACTGGGGTTGGGAGGCAGGAAATATACCATAAAACACAGTCTAGAAACCTTTGTGGATACAAACTTAGAAAATTAAAACCCTTTTCAATTTGGTGTTTAATTAAATATTTAAAGGACCTTGGCATTGGGAGGAATAAAGAATGGCTGTTAGAGTTCTCAGAAGGCAATTACTGCATAATTGTAGACTTGTATTAAAATATACAAATATTTGCCATAATATGTAATATGTAATTAATATGTAATATATTTTTAATTTTCTGAATCTTCTGGAGTTTGTAATTAGTGTGAGAGAATAATTGAATGTGGTTGGGGTTTTTTCAGTGAAAATAGATATAGATAGATAATTCAGTTAGACCTTTTATTAATTTTTTTTCATTTTGCAGATTTGAGAAGCTTAGAGTTCCAGTTTTTTTATTAGTTCATGATGCACAAGGAAATTCTAAATTGAAAGATTGATCAGATACAATCTTTTAACATAACTAGAAATTTTTCTCCTGTTCTTTAGTGCATTTCAGTCAGTCTACTATAAGCCTTGTCCTCTAGGAAGTTACTAGAAAAGTTATTATAGACCCATTAGCTTGTTAATTTGAATGGTCCTGGCAGTACTGTTTAAAGACAAAGGACAGTAAAGTAACCAAGAAAGAAGAAAAATGGTTCCGCTTATATACAGATGGGGGGGAGGGGAAGGAGCAAGAAGGATATAGTGGATCTGCTGAAATTAAGCAGCAAAGATCCTTGGCAAGATGGAACTACCAAGATAATTCAGGAGAACCTAGAAAGTTAGATGAAATATAGGAATAGAGAAGAGAAGTTATATGTGGTATATAATACGTTAAGTTTGATGATGAAGAGTTATAATAATGTTAGATAAAAACTTAGCATTCAGTAAATACTTAAATTTGACTTAATATGGACCCAGATAATTTTTAGTAAAATGTTCCTATCTTTTCCCAAAACTGTCATTAAATACATCCTCAGTAATAAACTGAAGCCTAAATTGGCTAGTCATATCAAACCTTCCTAGTTCAGGACTTGATTTCTAGACATTATAAGTAAGGGATTTATCTCCAAACTGGTTGACCTTTTGTTCCATCATTGCTAGCATAGTTACCACAAAATGAGAGATATTGAAAAGCCCTTGTTATAAATAGGTATTTACTATGTTAGTTTTTAAAGAGAAATGTTTTCTTTTGTTAAAAATGATCCCAAACATTTTGGTAGTGGAAAACATAAAGGAGACAAGTATCTTTCTTTTTAAAAATTTGTTAGTTTTTAATGTTATTCTTTCAAAATAAATTGACCATTTTATCTACTTACAGTGGAAACCTGTATTGTGAGCATTCATAACATTAGACTTGGAGTAGGGGCAGTTTTGTGACAGTAATGGGGATTCCCTAAACGAAAATTAGCTTGTAAAGGAGAATGTTCTGATTCTGCTTTGAAACATATGCTGTTCATTTTATACCCAACATGCTTACAAGAATTATAGCTTGTATGGTAGTAGTACTTCTTAGGAAACACTATTATGATTTATGCTAAAAGATTCTGGACTGTCCTAGAAACTAAAGACATTAATTTCATTGTCTAAGAATCTTAATTTTTGAAAAAAAGAAATAATGATGGGAGAATCATTATTAAAAAATAAATCTCACTAATTTGGAATGATTTGGCACTCTGATGTGAATTGTGAAAAAGTCTTCCTTTTTTAAAGCTCATTTTTTACTGCTTTTAAATAAGTACTTTAACTAATAGTGTTAAAAATTGAAGTCAGGAGAGATTTGCTTTAAAAGTTATGTGTAATAAGTACAATGGTGTGTAAACAATAGCTCTTTTAGTAGTTTAAGACTTTGGGAATTTTTTTACACTAGAATAGGGTCTATTTTTGTTGTTTTGTTTTGCTTTATTTAGACTAAAGGTAAAGTATTGACTGCCTAATTCTAAGTTTTCACATTGTTTCTACTTTAATGTGGTTTTGCTGTAACTTTAATGGAAGAATAGATGATATAGCAAATTCAAGTTTCTTTATGAACAGCATTAATTTTTAAATCAGGTGATGAATCCTTCAGAGCATGTATGTATTCAAAAATTTTGAGAAATTCACATTTGTTTTCTTTTGTCTAATTTATCAGCAACATGCTAGGCGAGTTTATGAAATTCTCCGATTACGTGTAACTGACATGGGTGATGCTGAACAATCCAGAGGCTATAGACTGGACATAAAAAGAAGATTAATTGGTCCATATAAGGTATAATTAGTTTCAATCATCTTGAAATATTATGTCCTATTTAATATTTGGGGAATCTAGATGATACAATGAATAGAGTGCTAGACCTGGAATCAGGAAGACTCAATCTTTGTGATTTTAAATCTGGCTTTAGATACTTACTGACTATGTGACCTTGGCCAAGTCACTTCACCTTGTTTGCATCAGTTTTCTTGTAAAATGAGCTGGAAAAGGAAATGGCAAACCACTCCAATATCTTTGCCAAGAAAACCCCAAATGGGGTCACAAAGAGTTGGACACAACTGAAATGACTGAAAAATAACAACATTTCAGCATTTAAAGGCCAAGAAGGAAGTATTATTGGATACCAGTTATAGGAGGGTTTAAACCATCCTGCCTTTTGACTTTTTTTTAACTTGCCTAGAAAAGCTCTAGAATGATTTAAATTTCTCCACTACTTTTAATTTTTTTTTAAATGATATGTAAACTATCCTTGTTAATTGAAGTACCTGCCATTAGGATAAATTCACACATAGTAGCTTTTTCTTTCACTTTTTTGTGCATCAAGGAAAATCTTAAAGACCAGAAGATCATCAAACTTTTTTCCACCTTCTTATTTTCTACATTTTTCCTATTTAGTATGCCTTTTCCTTAATGTATTAGTGGCACCCTTTTCTACCACCGTAACTATAAGGTGGCTTTTCCCCACCATGTTTTTGTCCCATGTTTCTGTCCTCTGTCTCTTTTTTCTCCCTTAATTTCTCTTCCACCTCTAAACTAAGAGTTTTCACTTTCTATATATGGAAGGTGTGGCAAGGTGGAGGTGAAAAAAATTGGCATCTTCTGAGCAACTATAAATGAGGTGGTTTTAGGGCTACAGGGACTCCAAACTGTCAAGGGACAGGGTAGAGTCATCTGGAAAGAATTCTTGGACTCAAGCAGTCTTCCGGTCAAGTGGGAAAAAGTTTATTGTAATTCTATGTAGCAGGCAGAGCTCTTTAGGGAACTCACAGCCTAACAGGAATGATGCTAAAGCTTATATAGGAAAAATTTTGTGCATTTTGTGTCAAATATGCTAATTAGGTGGTGAACATACAGTTTTTGTACCTTGGGCACAGGCATAATTCACTACTGGCATAGCCAGGGGCGGGGGAATGGTGTTGGGGGGGTGCTTCTAAGGGGTGTGTTTTAGATCCGTTACATCCGTAACAAGATAGCCTCAGGAGTTAATGTCTATAGCTTGACTTTTGGATTGTATATGATAACTGTGGGAATCAGTACATGATAGTCCTGACAAGATGGTCCTGTTCATACAAAGGAAATTCTACAGAGGTCAGCTTGTTCTTATAACAGGGAGAGATAGTTTGCCTCACTGAGCCTATGAGTCCTAGGACTGGGGTCCAAGCACCCCATCAGAAAGACTGAAGAATTGCCATGATGGTGTTTGGCAAAGAACTGGTCTGAGTATATGCATGGTTTTTCTGTTTATGGCAGTTTTAAATCTTAAGTTGCCTGTGTATGAATATTTAGCTCTCATTATTCATAGCATAGAGGATGCTACTATTGAGTATCACTTGTGGGAGTTATAACTTGAGTCTATTAATTCACTAGCTTAATTAAAAGTAGACACATAAAGAGCATCTAAGAACTACTTCTTTATCGCAGTTCTTCCAAGTGTGTTTCAGAATAATTTAGCTTAGTAAAACCTTAGGATTTAGCTCAAGTTGTTATATATTGATACGTGTACTGTAACCTTTTGAAATTATTCTTGGTTGATTTAGGAGCTATAGTCTGTTTTTCTTATGATGTTGTTCCTAAAAGGGCAAAGAGCTTAGCTAAAGGTGGTTTTGAATTTCATCTTTTATGAAGCCTGAAATGTTTACTTCAGAACCTGTGTAAGTATAGCTCTGAGAACAGGCAAAGGTAAGACACAGAGTGAAAAGTCCAGTAAACTATTATGGAGTAAATCCGAAGATCCTTTTGACTTTGCACCATGATTTTGTCTTAAAAACAGGTCTTTAAAATTCCATTGTGTGTTTAAATATTTGTAGGTTAAGAGGGAGAGGAAGAAGGTTTGGCTTCTAGAAGTTTCCAGCAAGGAGTTAGGATGAAAAAATTGCTCCAGGCAAGCCCTGAACCATTTTGTGCAACTTGAAGGAAAAAAAAAGCAAACCAAGCAGATCAGCTAGAAAAAAAGTGAATTATGTAATTGCCCAGGGAGCTTTGGACTGACTTGGGAAAACTCTCTCCTGGGTCTTGGCATATGACAGGTACTTTTTCTCTTCTCTTTTCTCTTTCTGAGCCGCAAGAAGATTAAATAATAGTGTCAGAGAGGAATGCTGTGTAAAGTCCTGCCCTGAGGAAGAGAGTAGAGAAAAGAAGTAGTTAGAGACAGGTACCAGCTAACAATGTGAGAACATTTGGCCCACCAGCAATTTTAAGTTAAAAGTCACCAGTGGCATCAATGTTTCTTCACTCAGGCATTTATTAAAGTCCTATAATTCTGTGCTAGGTACTGGGGATATAAAGACAAAACAAATAATCCTTGCCCTCAGCTTACATTCTGCTGGGGTGATACAACATTTGCATGAACAATTAAGAACAGTATAATTATAGGAGGTTGAGAACACTGACAACTAAGAGGGCCATAAAAGACTTTCCATTGGAGATGAATTGAGCTTTGAAAGGTACAAGAGGTAGAGGTGAAGAGGGAGTATATTCTAGGCATATGGGATAACCTGTGAAAAGACAAGCAGACAAGAGATAGAGTTCTGAGTTTCAGGCATAGCAAGTAGTCCATTTTGACTAGGTCATAGTATGCATGAAGTCTTGTGAATTAAATCTCTAGAGGGGTGGGCTTAGAACCAGACTAAAAAGATGTAAAGGTCAAACTCTTGAGTTTGTATTTCTGGGAAGTAATAGGGAGTCTGCTGAGGAGTTTTGAGCAGCAGAGTAATGTGATCAGACCTATACTGATTTGGGAGGATGGCTTGGAAAGAAGACTAATTGAACAGGGAGATTGATTAGGAAGCTGGTATAGTAGTCCAGGTTAGAGGTGATGAAGGCCTGAACTGAGGTGGTGGCCAAAAAAGGTGAAAAGAAGATTGAAGAAATGTCAATTCAGCTTTCACAACAAAACTTGGCGACTGTTTAGATAACAGGGAGGAGAAGTAAATAGAGTTGTGGATGACTCAGAGGATATGAATCTGGATGACCAGAAAAATGATGATGCCTTCAATATAACAAGGAACTTAGAAGAAACAAATTTAGGATGGAAAATAAACTCAGCATGATCAAACTAAAGCTCATTGAGATGCCTATGGAATATCCAATTGGAAATGTCCAGAAAACAATTGATGTGGAACTGGAGCTGAGGAGAGAGATTAGAGTTGGATGTATGAGTTTAGGAGTTATCTCAGTAGAGAAGATAATTGAACCTGGGAGTTGACAAAAGTGTAAGGGGAAAAAAAGGGTTCGGGACAGGAGTCACCTACAGTTAAGGGACAGGTGCCACCCACAGTTAAGGGACAGGCGCAGTAAGAAGTGATCCAACAATTAGAAAGGAAGCCAGATGAAAGCAGTGCTGCAAAAGTTTAGTTTGGAGAGAATATCCAGGAGAAAGGGGATGGTCAACGTTAGATTCTGGGATGTCTGACCATATGATTTTTCTGTTCAGTAAATTTCAGTGGTTTCTTGTGATTCTAGGATCAAATAGAGTTAATAAACATTTATTAAGTGCCTACTATGTACCAGGTACAGCTAGATGGCCAAGTAGATAGAGCACTAGGCTTGGAATTAGACTCACCTTTATGAGTCTCAGACACGTAACTAGCTGTGTGACCTTGGATGCAAGTCACTTAACCCTGTTTGCCTCAGTTCCTCATGTATAAAATGAGCTGGAGAAGAGAATGACAAACCATTCCAGTATCTTTGCCAAGAAAACCCCAAGTGAGGTCACAAAGAGTTGGACATGACTGAAACAAAACAACCTGTGCCAGGTACCGTGCTAAGAAAGGCACAGGACAGACAGTCCCTGCCCTCAGGGAGCTCACAGTTTAATGGGGAGATAGCACATTAAAAGAAGCTGAAAAGGGGTGGGGGTGCTCAGGGGAACGATAAGGCCTGCACTTGGGGTGAGTAATTATCTGAGGAGGTATGATTTAGAGTTGAATCCATCTTGCAAAATGATGAATTTCTGGAGATCATGAAATCTAGGAGATCATTTGAGTGGGAAATATTATTTCATCTTCATCTTATCCTTTTAAATTTTTATTTTTGTGTTTTATCATGTGCATAATTATTAGTATAATAGTTTATAAACATATAATCTTATCAGTAATTATACACATATTGGGGAACATGTGTAAAACATTTTTAACTGATAGCAGTACATGATTAAAAAAAAAAGCTTAGGAATCATTGGTGTAGTGGTGCAGATATGGCTAGATCTCATGTGAAAAAGACCTGGGGGTTTAAACTGTATTGAAAACTCAGTATGAGGTTATGATAGTTCAAAGAACTAGTATGCTCATGTTCTGGACAACTTATTATCAGTTTAGTTTGGGGGAGGGACTATAATCAGACCTTCCACCAACCACAGTGCTGTTTTCTCTTGCATCTTGCTGCCTGGCTTTGTCTGCCACCTCATCCCCCCTCCTTCATTGCCTTTGTTCCTTTCCCTAAGCACCACAAGTCCTTTTTTGCCAGAATTGGTTAGTGACAGAACTGGAGGTAGTAAGACATAAGGGAAGGAAGCAACCAAATCTGTTTCTCACCCCACACTGTACTATATGTGGATCTTTTACCCATTGTTTTAAGTTCTGACTTCTGAGATAAAGCATTACGTGACAGCTTAAAAAAAGCTATCATAGCCGCCTGTATTTTCCTTTAGACTAAATAGCCCCTGTACCTTCAACCGGTTCTTCCATGACACGTTTGGAGATTCCCTCACTGCCCTGGTTAACCTATATTAGTTAAATTCTAGTTTGTCATTGTTTTTCTTAAAATATGTTGGCCAGAATTAGACACAATTTTCTATATCTGGTCTAAGGCAGAGTACAATGGAACTATAGCCTCTTGCTCTGTACACTTTATTTCTAATGCAGTCTAGGACTATCACCTCCTTGTTCTGTACACTATAATGCAACCTAAGATTATAGGAGAGAAGAGCACAGTTGTCTTTGAGAAATGTTAGAGTCCTTTTAATAATTCCTAACTTTTCCCTTAAACAAAGAGTTATCTTTTTAATACCAATATTGTTCTGGTGATGTTGTATGACTACAAGTTATAACAGAAAAGTTCATGGTGTATGCAGACTGGCTAAATTATCAACAAGTAATGATATTAAAGAAGTTATATAAAAGTTTTCCTCAGAGGACTGTATGAAAAGAAAGATGATCCAGTCATATAATGAAAGTGAATAATAATGGATGTCCAGCCTACATTCTGCATTGTTAACCAAGCACATAAAGAGAATTTGAGGAAGCTTTTCCCCACTCCAACTCTTTGTGTGAACCCCCATACCCCGATGGAGTTTTTATGGGAAGATATTCAAGTAACAGAGGTGAACCAGTTTTTTTTTTTTGGCGGGGGAGGAGGAATGCAGTCTTGGGTATGGCACAATTTACATTATTGGAGGGAATATCTGAACTGATGAAATCACAAATTCACTTAGAATCACTTAGTTGTTTTTTGGCTGCCATTTACTAACTTGTTTCCCTGAAATCCTCAGGTCTTTTTCACCTGAATTAACTGGTTACATCTCCTTCCATCATGTACTTGTACCATTGTTTTTTTTTTAAACCCAAGTATAGAAATTGGAATATAATATGCATAATGTAATTTTATTCCATTTGGCTTGTAGAGATCTTTGGACTTCTAGTTCTGTCATCCATAAAGGGGTTGGATTAGATGCCTGCTAATGTCCCTTCTATCTTTAAGTCTATAAGCCTATGTTAGCCATACTTTCCAGCTTCCCAGTACAGGATAAAGGCAGATGGGACTTGATCTATTTGTTGTCTGGGGAATTTTATTAGACTGTAAATTCTCCAGGCCATGCTTTTTCTTTAAAACAAAACAAAACAAAAAACCCCAAACATTTTACTAAAAGCTTAACATTGAATCAGTTTATTTCATTTTTCCACCACTTCCATTAAGTCGTAAGGATCCTTTGCTATTCATTGTCAGTCATTTTTTCCTTTTATATGGTCATGTGACTGTTCCATTCTTCTGGTTCTACTTTTTTTTTTGTTCCTTACTCTTGTTTGTATACTTAATTATATTACAGACTTTCCATTGCATTAATCTACCACAATATAATTTTTCCTCTGTTAAACATTTAGATTCTTCCTATCGCTTTCCTCAAACACAGGACTACTATGAACATCTCTGACCAAACTGTTCATTTTGGGGTGTTTTTTAGGATATATTATTAATGATGAAATGATTGGGCCAAAATACATGATTCTGAGGTAACTTAATTATGTATCATCAGATTGAATCTAGAGTTTTTAATGACATCATTCTGTCTTTATCTAGAAAGGAACACTTTGTCTAGCACTTATGTTACATAGAGCATCAACAAGTATGTGCTATTGAGATTTTCCTCCTTGGGTTTTCAAGGTTTGTTGTGGTTGTGGTCTTAGCCAGGTTTTAAATTTTTAAAACCACTTAGGTTATTTTATCTGGAATAACTCACAAGTACCAAAAGTTCATGTAGGTTATATTTGGCATTATATAAGTAGGCATGGAGCTAACCTGAAACAAAGTACCATTTAAAAGTTCTATGAAGTGTCTAAATAGCCAGTATCTAGTAACTTTACTCGTAGTTTCTCCAAGGGATAGTTTAGTAATTTCAAGACAATCTTAACAATATTGCCTAAACTACCTTTTGGAAGGGACTGGTGTCAGTGTTTCCTTTTGTTTTGCTTTTCTTAAGATAATTTCTCAAGCATAAAGGGTGGATCAAGAATGGGCCTCCTGTCCCAGCTCTGACATATATGTGTGTCAGGGGAGGTCTTGGGACCCTGGGACAAGTTGTGTAACCTGTCAGTGCATCAGGCAACTCTTTAAAACTTTAAGTTGAATAATAGTTCTTGATGTGCACATGGGGAAACATTTCTCTATAGGGAATTCCTTACAGCTGTAAAATCACAGGTCCACTTTAAAACAAAACCAAACAGTCTTTTCAGGCATTGGATAACATCAGATAGAGGTAGAAAAAAGCCAGCTTTATTATAGAGACACTGTAATGGACACATACACAATCAATCATCAGCTCTCTCTTAATCCAGAGTTTTCATTGTCTCTTTTCCAAAAAGAATTGGTTCATACAAAGCAGGAGATCATTAGCTAAAT